TTTTATAATATAATAATTTAATTAATATTATAATATAATAAATAAATAATATAATATATTTAATATTATATTATATTCTAATATTATTCTAATTATAATATATATATATATATATATAATAAAATAAATTCTGATATTAAATTAATTCATAAAACAAATCAAAGATTCTTCATAGATTCTATTGTATAATAAAATCATTAAAAAATTTCCAAAACTCAAACAAATTATATAAAATCAAATAAAATTTACTAAAAATTTCCTATAAATATAAAAAAAAAATAATAATATTTTATTAAGGATTAACACATCACGTTGCTCACACGTTGGAAACGTTAATGTCATACGTTGAGGGTGGTACAAAAGCAAGAAAAACAGCAGCCACGTTACAAAATTCAAACAGTAGTCGTAGTCACGCATTGCTCACAATTCTTCTTAATCCAGAAACAACAACAACAACATCAACAACAACAACAACAACAACGACAACTACGACTAGAAATAACGATAGAAAATATGATGACGCGTTATCATTTAGACGCAACGACGTCATACTTCCTAATAACAGCAGTAAACTGCATTTGGTCGATCTAGCCGGTAGTGAAAATGCTCAAAGGTGTGACGGTGTGCATCGTTTAAAAGTAAGTCATGAAAAACCAAAAGTCCCCAAAAAAAAATTCAATTAAATCAAATCAAATCAAATCAAATAAATGTGTATTTATTGATATTATATTATATTAAATATATTTCAATTATTTATTTTGTTATTATATTAATTAATTATTATAAATAACATTCGCGAGATAATACACACATACACACACACACGTGTAAGATTTACAATAGTTCCATGCATTTCTTTTTTTTTATATATATATTTTTTTTTTTTTTTAGTAATTTAATAATACAATAATTTTATTAGTTATTTTTATTTATAGGAGGGTGCAAATATTAATAAAAGTTTGGTAGCCTTGGGAAATGTTATTTCAGCTTTAACAGGAAAAGTCTCGGGTGCTAGTGGTTCTAGTAAAAGGTATATCCCTTATAGAGATTCTTCCCTTACTTGGCTTTTGAAGGACGCACTCGGTGGAAATGCTACCACCATTATGCTCGCAAGTAAATATTATTTTACTTCATTAACTATACAGTTTTTTTTTTTATTATTTATTTACCTACCTCATTAATCTACTATTTTCTTTTCTTTTTTTTTTTGTTTGAATAGTAGTACCTTTATTTGTTAAATCATTCGTATGCATACCTCACTACCACACTTATTTTTTTTTTTTTTGTTAGAATAGAAGAACCTTTATTTGTTATAACCACACACACACACACACACACACAAAACACAATAATATATTAATATTAAAAAAATATTGAATTATATTTACAGCGGTATCACCAGCAAGTGAAAATTACAACGAAACCGCGCATACATTACGATTCGCACAAAGGGCGCACAATGTGGTCAATAAACCCATGGTCAATGAAGATCCCATGGCAAAAACAATTCGAGAATTAAAGGCTGAAATAACTAGATTGAAATCATTGTTATTGGAAAAGGTAAAACATTTTACAAAATCATCATCATCATCAAAATGTTTTCATATTTTGTCTTCATTTACATATGTACACCATATATATTTTTGTTTATAGAACATCGAGCCGGATAATAAAACATTGCAGGATGAATTGGAACTTAAAGATTTGGAAAAAAAGAAGAAAAATGATTCATCGAATAATAGCGTGCAAGAAAATAAACAACAAATCGAAATCAATCGTCAAATAGAATATAAAAATGAAGATGATGATAGTAACAGTGGTGTTTGTGTTGTTAGTAGTGGTGGTAATAGCAACAGTGGAATTCTTACTTTAGTCAGACGGGTAAATTCAACTGAAAATTTAACAAGTCACGATAGTGCCATTGTAAAATCTATCAGAAAATTTGGTTCGTACGAATGTCTCGATCATAAAACAACAACAGCAACAACCGAAACAACTACTACTTTAACTGGTTACAGTTATAATCGTGCAGAAGTTTCCGAATTGGAAGATGATGAAAATGATTTTATTGGTGAAATTAACGAAACTGTATTTGTCGACATTCCAACACTTGTCGCTGTATTAATAAAACCAGATAATAGTTTTAACGAAAGATCATCTCATCAACAAATTGAAGAAATATGTTCAGATGAAATACAAGAATATCCAATAGAAACAGATTTTATTGATAACAATAACGTACGTGATATTTGTGAAAATCTTACGAGAACAAATATTACCAATGATCGTTCTTACGAAGATGAATATAATCATCATTTTAATTTAGTTGATTTAAACGATGAGATCAATGATACTCCATCGACAAAAATTATTCAATCGAGTAGAAAAGAAAAATCGAAATTTCGTAAACAAGATTCGATCAATATTGCAACACCATCATCAACAACAACAACAACAACAACAACAACATCTACAAATTTGTATATGTCAAAAAAATTTGGTTCTGTTGAAATAATACAAAAGAGACCTAACAATTTATCAACATATTTAGAAAGATCCAATACAAATTTGGAAAAACGATCTAATGATAAAATTAACGAGGAAAATCAATGTATAGATAAAAGAAAATTAGATGATACTAAAAGTGACATTTATACGAATTTATGGAAAGATAATAATAATAAATCTGACAGTAGGGATCATTTACAAAGAACTAATAGTAATGAGTTTGAAAAAAATTCAAAGGATACATCATCGATGATAAGTCTTATCAATAAGATCAAAAATAATGCGAGAAAACCAAGTTTAGAAAGTTTGAAAAGGAAAACAAGTAAGGACAGTAGTTCGAGTAGTTCGAAAGATGAACAAATATTGATTTCTAGTTTGACGAATGACAAAGTACTAAGAAGAAAGGATTCGATAGATCATAGTTTGTCTATGAGAGCTCATACACCTGTACAAAAAGTAAAAAGAGCAGAAATTGTGGCTGCTGTTACAGAAAGATTATATTCAAGTAGAAAACAGGTGGAAGAAATGACAACTGTGACAGGACCTGCATCAACTTCGGTTTCGGGAATTCGTTCACCTCCTGAAGGAACGGATGTTAGATTAACAAATTCTGCAGCATTGACGACTAAATCGAAACTTCAAGAAATATCGAGAAAAATGTTAGCAAAACGACGTCGTGTTAACGTTGACACACAAACTGAACAAAATCAAACGATTCGTATGAAAGATTCGTCATCTTTGACTGATGAAACTAAAATAGTTTGTCAAGATGTAGGTGTATTGACCGATGAACATAACAATTGTCATCATCAAACAATCACAGACAACAGATTACCTGTCATTAGAGTCAAAGAAATTGCAACGTTAACTGACAAATTGAAAAATAAAATCATGGAATCTAAAGATGCTGAATGTTTGGTTAATGATCTTAATTTTTACGAATACGGTGTTAATTTTGTAAATAATTCAACATTGTTATTGGATGATACGAGAACTTATGTTAATCAAATGTCTAACACGGATATTTCTGAATTATGTTTAACTAATGATCAAAAGGTTGATCGTTTTGATAAATCAACGAATACAGTGATTGCTCCTGTTGCAAACAATTCTGTCGTTCAAACACAAACGCCATTGCAACGACCAGTTGTAGAAGAAAAAACAACGCAATATTTAGAAGAAAATTGTAATGTTATAAAAGAATCAAATCCTATGACAACAACTGTTGAACAGAAATCAGAAAGAAACATTATTTCCATGTGTTTACCTGATACAATAAATATAACTATTGAAAGTTCCAATTTGTTAGAATCCAATATTGTTATAACAGACAATACTTTAGATAAGACAGGTATCACGGATAAGAAAGATATATCTTATTTAAAAGATAACGAATGTCAAACTGAAAATAAAAATATCAAACAGGATGATAAGAGTAACAATGATTGTTATATTAAGGAATTTACAACAAAATCAAGTGTTAGTCAAACGGATAACAAATCATTTAGAATTGAAAATATCTTTGATGATCCTAAAAATAATAATATCTCAAAGATGCGTAATCAAACAGAAGATACATTGAATAAATCTAAAAATACAGTTAAAAAAGCATCGGTTACTTTTACCAATTCTTTGGGTACTTCATTCATTCCAGATACAAAAGAATCTGCTACTGACATGAACAAAAGACAAATTTATGCTCTACAAAGTGGTCAATCGTTTACACAAAATAAAAGCATCAGAGAAACGTTTATTACGAAAAAATATAATAACAATAGATTAGCTACAGATGTTTGGAAAAATTGGATGATTTCGTTTCCTTCAACATCTTCCTGGCAACATCCGAGAAATGTTTTATCAGTTAATGGGTTGACATTTGCATGGAACAATAGTTTGAATAATGATTGTGCTACAATCGTTGGTACTGCAAATTTTAAAAATACTTTAGAAGAATCTAACATTAATTCTAATGTTTTTCTTCCTAATAATAATAATAATAATAATAATAATAATAAAAACGAAGTTACAGATTTAAAATCACCATCTTTGATCAACAAAATAACAGATTCGAAGAGATTACACGAACATGATTATAATTTTTCTGACGACAGTCTTGATTATAATGAAGAAAATCTAATATCTAATTCTAATAATGTAAATATGGAAACTAATGAGGAAAATGAAACGTTTGAAAATATTTGTCAACCTGACGTGGTAGCACAAACGAAAAAAGAAAATTTAACAACCTCGTTAGGAAATTCGTGTGACAATAATGTCGAACATTCTAATCATTTTGAAGACGATCAGACGATTGAATTCCCCAAAAAAATACCAACCGAACCAATGGATGATTCTTCCATCTCTGTTCATGACAATAAATCATTGATTTTAGGTCAACGTTCAATGAACGTTGATAATTTGCAAGAAGAACGAACTAATTTGGAAGAAAATTCATCAAATTTTGTTAAAAATTCTTACAAGAAAAAAGTTACATTTATGGATAACAAAAGTTCAAAAGAATGTCATAATAATGATAAACCAAAAGAATTAAATTCATTGAATCAAAGTAATAAAAGTTTGTTCAAATTTGTTGTTAAAAATAAAACTCATGTACAAAATGATAACAACGATGATTCTTCGAATTATTTATTGAATAATGTTGAAAATAATTGCAATGATTCTGACAGTGGTGAAGAAGAAGAAGAAGAAGAAGAAGAAGAAGAAGAAGAAGAAGTTGACAAAGAGGAAAATTGCGTTGTTAAATTGAAAAGAAAAATATTACAAGAATACGTCAATGAGGCAACCATTTTTATGCGTAATATGAATTCTTTAAATGAATGTATAAATATGGCAAATATTTGTGATAAACCTCGTAGACAAGAAAAAAAACGAGCAACAAATTATCAACAATGTTTACCTCATTTTCGAAATGAACACAAAATTGTACCATTAAAATATAACAAAGGTAATAATGATAATAGTAATGAATTGTTATTAGAAGAAAATGACCTAAAATTACAAACAGAATCGTTTAAAAAATGTTTAGAAGGTATTGAAAGATTAGAAAATTGTATAGAAAAAACAAATAAACATAACGAGTATCTTCGTGAAAAATATGGCATAGTAGTTGAATCTACTGGCGCTAAATTAGGTTTAGCGAGCACTAGTATAGATTCTAGTCAAAATTCTAACATAATATCTTCTAATATAATTCAAAGAGATAGAAATTTACAAGAAAAAGAAACAATACATTCGGAAACATTAGAAAATTTCGTACCTTCGAACAAGATTTCTCACAAAGATTCTTTCATGTCGAAATTTATTGAACATCCGTATGATCAATTAAGAATTTATGATGATTTTTATGATACGAATAATGAAGAAATGTTTGATATAAAAAGTAAAATTGAAAGGAAACGTACTACTACTAATCGTATAATGAACAACGATTATCCTTCATCTTGTCATTGTCATACAAAAAGTATATCTTATCGAAAAGAAAAACATTTTCAAAAAAGTACATGTAAACTTTATCATTTTTATGACGATAGAACAATAAAAAACGTACCACTCGATGATACGTTAATAAGACCGGAAGATGAACATTTAGAATTATCGAGTAGCATTTTAATGAAACCTATCAAGTATTATGAAAGTTTAGAAAAATCAATCGGAGATAATGAATTTCCAAGATTAATATCTAATACATTATTGAAATGTACCAAAAATGAAACACCCAATTTTGTTAATTCAAGAATATTTCATCGATCAACTACCATTACCGATACCAAACCTTATTCTCGTGAAAGGTGGAGATATCGTTTTGAAAGTCCAAGAGCTAAATTTTTAGAATTGTTACACGAAAGACGACGAATCGTTGAAAACAGTAGAGATGTTACATTTTAAAAAGTCATCTTCTTCATCATAAAAATATGTAAATTATAAATTCATTTTCCCCCCCCCCTATATATTTTTCTACATATTAATCAAAGAAGAGAAAGATAATTAATACGAAAACAAAACAAAAAAAAAAAGAAAACCGAAAACAAAAAAAACAAAACCAAAATATACATATATAGTGCAACGATCACATAACGAATTAACATATAATTGTCATTATTATTTTTATCTTTCTCACTGTTCTATTGTAAAACAATTAACATGAATTTTATCAATCCTTATCACTTACTTAAGAATTACAATGCATTTCTATATACTTATAATTACATATATGTACATTAGAAAACGATAAGACTTCAAAAATTGTATAATTGATAAATACAATACTTTTTTTTCTCTCTCTCTCACTCTCTCTCTCTCTCTCTCTCTCTCTTCAATTAATCTAATATTCTCTTTAATATTGTAATATAAAGGAATAACAATCAATTTACTTTTTTTTTTTTTTAAATAGATAGAAAATTCTTAATATAATCAAATATAATGAAATAATGACAAAAATATTGTCACTTCGTGTTAAAAAGTTATTAATTATTAAAAAACAATTCCACTTTTTGTATTCTTCTCTTCTCACTCAGTCTTTATCATTGAAGATTTAATAATAAATTGTCTTTTCTCTTTTTCTTTTTTTTTTTTTTATACAAATATATATATATATAGATAGATAAATTATTAATAAATAATTATATTATTCACCGTGTCGTTGTTCACACTTATTATATCTTTGTAATATCCAAATAAAGTCCTTTACCGATACATCATGGTATTCAGGTAATGTACTAAAAATTATACAAAAAATATCTTTCTTCAATATCAATAATCTGTTTGAAATAATTTAATAGATATTTAATAGAAATTAAATATAAAAATTATACGTACATAAATTCAGTTGTTCTAATATGCCATGGAAGAAAACCATACGTAGAAATAATATGTCCATGTATTAAAGCCAAATCAGGATCGGGTATCCCTTTTAACATCATTTTTTCCGAAATAAACTTTTCATTTATTTCTTCTATTTGTAAATTTTTTGTTCTTACAGCCTCCGCTAAATGTTGCGTTAATAATACTATTCCATCTTTCCCACTATTCTTACTTGGTAATAATATTCTAATTACAGTATTGGAACCTAGAAATATATATACATTATATATATATATATATATATATATATGTTTGGAACATATATAACGTTGTTTGGAACTTAAACAGTTGCCACTATTTAAGTTCCAATCTATGTATATAATAAATTTATAAATAATTATGTTATACCTGTAATTCCATTTTGTGTGTGTGGAATATGCAACTGACTCCAATTAACGTATTCCATTAATTCTGGTTTTCTAACAGCAAATTCTTGTTTTATTTCATTCTCATGTTGTGATAAGAAATCTATATAAAATTAAAAAAACAAATATATAGATATAAGTGACAATAAATTTGAAGTATCATTTCAATAACTATTTTATATGAATGATAATTTAAAAAACATTTATATATTATTATTATTATTATTATTATTATTATTATTATTATTATTCATAATTATTAGTAATAAAACTTATCATCTAATTATTAAACATAAAATAATTTGACAATATTCGAATAACTTTTTATCTGATGATTTAGGTTATACAAAAATTACTTTCATTTATATATATATATACGTCATTTTTGAAATAGTTCATATAATCATTAGTAAAATTATTTCATAATCTTATCATTGTCAAGGATATAATAATTTGACAATAGTGATGACTTGTAATCTAACAATTTAAATGTTAATATTATGAATAATTTTTGTCAAGTACTTTACCTTTTCGACCATAAAAACTGATAAATGGTATACCCAATGTAATACACCAAACAATTATTTGTATAGAATCTTTGATGCAATCTTCCTTTTCTCCCAAAATAACCACATGTACTGGTAATTTTTTTAATTTATTAGTACTATTTACAAGCATTTCAATGTCTATCTTTGAATTTTTATTATACCAATATCCTATACACTTTCGATGGATAATTAAACAGCTATTATAAATGATTAACCTTAAGCTGTATAAAAGATGCATAAGTACGAGAAGCGTACGAAATATTATAAACATTTTGTCTATTTCTAATTATAATATCACACAATAAAATCATAAATATTTTCATATACAATATGAAAACTCGTTCAAAATACACCGGTGGATACCACGAGACTGATCCCCCATCCACAATCTTACACGGTTATTAACACATGACAATGCTACCAACATAACGGTACAAAATATGATTAACATATGTATGTATTTACATTATATGTTTATCCTTGAAATTGTTTTATAACAAAATAAAGATATTCTCATGTTGATAAATATTTTTAATAAGAAGAAATAAAAATTTCTTTAAAAAAATGAATTAAATATAATAATAATCAAAATAATGTCATTCATATTTAATTTTAATATTATCTAATTATAAATGACAATAATGAAAGTGATTATCTGTAACATATGTATTGGTTTATGAATTATACGCGCGACCAATGAACGAGCAATAGATACCAACATCAAAAATAATATAAAAAGAAAAATGTATAGTGGCGCCACCGCAAGAGTTTATCTTTGAACTATGAGTGAAGAAATCTGTAATACGCTTTATCATTTGTGATAGATTGGAAAATCGATTAAAGGGTAAACCGGTAAAAGCGCACGCGTCGTAACAAAGTGTATGTACATATCAGCTGCATTGATATAACTGTATTAAAAGAAAAATCAGTGTTATTTTATTGTCTAGTGTCTTCCAATGAAATATTATTTCAATCATATTTAATGGCTCGTAATAATCGTACGAAGGTATATCTTGGTTACGAAGATGACTATGTAACTGATAAACATCGTAATCTCATTAATTTTACAACTAATAAAATTGGTGGATTTCCAGTGAGTATATAAAAAACAAAAAGAAAAGAAAAGAAAAAGAAAAAAGTCTACATAAACATTTTATTTTATCTTCTTGCTTTTTAATAATATAGATTAGTAAATTATAAATTAGATTATAATAATAAATGTGTCCACGTAAATTGCATGTGTGTTTATAGTTGGTATATTATTTGTACAGTGGGTAATAAAAAAATATAACTCTGTATACTTTTCTATTAATTTATGTTATGTTTTGTGCACAAATTGTAAACAATTTCTTTGTAGATAGATAATTATTATATTATTTTTTTTTGCTTTTGTTTTAATATATCCTTAATAGGTACATACTAATATTTAGTATAATTTCTTCAATCATATTTAATAAATTTAACACATACTTATGTATAATATTTCTATGGATAGGACTGGCATGGAAAGAACACACTGTCGTCACCGCAGTGTAGACTTTGCGGCTTGCACCAACTCTTGGCTCTACAATTGTATGCTCCACTAGAAAATTCTAAATACCATCGCACACTTTATATATTTGCATGCATCAATCCAAATTGTTGGAATCACAATGAAAGTTGGACTTGTTTGAGAATTCAGTCCTTGGATAACGAGAGTAAAACTCATCCATCTGACGAAGATGGTACTAGTGTATTACTTACAAAAACTTGGTTGGCAGGAGCAGATGACTGGGGCGATAACTTAAATGATAATTCTTGTGAACATAATGGAAATAACATGCTATCAAATGTTCCTATTGATTTTAATCATTCCATGCAGTCTGCTATTGGACAAGATTTTGTAGATGATTTTGCTGTATTGCAAGTAGATGATCCAAATGCGAATAGGTTTGTGTATGAAAATAATCATTTGTTATATTACATTAAATTACGTAATAATTTTAAATCTATATCAATCATATTCTTTAGTCCTGCAAGTATAGAATCTCCAATCGGAGGAGCTGTAGGAAAAGTAGATTCTCCTCAAGCATCTGCAGAAATAGAAGGAGAAGAAAGTGAAGTAGTTTGCATTGATACTCCTACACAGCCACAATGTGACTTGGTCAGTTTGTTACATGAAGTAACACCATTTCCAATACAGATTGAATTAGATACAGAAAAGAAATACTTTTTTACTGAAATATTCATTTCTGTTGACGAAGAGGCTTCCAATATTGATGTACCTCAACATGTTCGAGAGTTACTTTTAGAATATCAACATACCAATCCAGATTCATCGCCAACATTTGTTCCAGAATCTAATGATTCTAAAAATGCTGGAACAGATATAGAAAAGTATGAAAAAAGTGTTCCATTGCATGGTGATGAAATGTTTCATAATTTTGTCACTCGTATACAAGATAATCCTGGACAGTTACTAAGGTATAAATACTTTACTTATCTTAAAGATTATTCATTTATTTTTTTATAAATATAAATTATCTTATCATATCTTTTTATTCGATAGATATTGCAGAGATAAATCTGCACCTATACTATTATATCCTATGAGCGGTTGTGTCGGAAAATGTAGACATTGTGGTGCAGAAATGATTTTTGAATTACAAGTTTTACCAACACTTATACCAAAGCTAACATTGCAACCACAAACTGAAGAAAATTTCCAAATTGAATTTGGTACAGTTCTGATATTCACATGTTTAAAAAGTTGCTGGTCCTCGACTGATTCATACAGAGAAGAACATATTATTGTTCAAGCAGAAAGATTATAGTGATATTATTATATTGTTTTAATCAATTCTATAACATAGTATAAAGACATAATTTTGGTAAAAATATAGTTATTTGATTTCTATAGATAAATACCGTCCATAGTTTGAAATGTCTGTAATACAAAGAAAATCTGTTGAAAATCATGACAAATATGCATTTTAAATCATTTTGAAAAAGCTAATGGAAACATTATAAAAATTACCTAATTATGTAATTTATTATTTATTGTATTTTATGTAATTTTTTGTATAATTTATTTATTATATTTTTTATGATAAAATAAGTTTCACTCTGTTCTTACAAAAGAAAACACTAACAATTTTTGATTTTTGATGATAATATTGATAATATAAGTTGAACAATAAATTTTAATTTTAATTTTCAATAATTTAACATATATTAAATGAAAATATTTTAGCAACATTCTCTTATATAAATGATCATTTAATTTCACTTAATTATCATGCTTAATATCTCCTAATATATTATATATGCTATATAATATCTAATATAAGTAATATTAAATATAATTTAAAACAATTGGAATATAAAATATAAAATCAAGTATATCAAATTCATAAAAGATTATTTCCGATAATTAATTTAAACGAATCCTCCAATTATGAGCAACGATAGTAAGATTCAATCACTGAAATATTTTCAAGTGATTGTTAATTAAAATAAAAATAAAAACTTTAATGAAATATATAGTACGTTGTAAAAATAAAATGAATTAAGCATTTCAATGTTTAATTTTAGTGTAAAAATATAAATGTACATTGTAGTTGATATGTAAATAGAAAAAGTTAAACAACAGTAAAAAATTAACTCTTTCATTTCTTGAAACCTTTTAGAATATCCGTCCCACATGTTAAATTATTTTTAGTATTTGTAATATAGAATTAATTTTATAGTAATATTGATTTTTTAAAATGATTTTTATTTTACAAGGGGGTTTTATTTTTATAAATTATTTTAATTAATAAAATATCCTTATATTTAAAGCAATACTTATTTCTAAACAATGATTTTCACATACAGCAAACTCGACACACAATGTGCTTAGTTTAAATAAAATAATGTTTTATATAATATAACAATCCAATTATCGAGTTAATCGCTGTTTTATAAATTAAAATAATTCTAGAATATGTTAATTATCTAAAAAATAAAATGTTCAAATGATACAACACATAAGGATGATATATGTGAGTCGTATTGTTTAGATAATAAGTTTCTAATAGTAAATAAATGTACTGCTACATTGAATAAAGATTTGTTGTTGTATATAATTAAACGTTTCTTATCAAAGGATGTTCACACATATATCCTTTATTTTCAAATGCAGATTTAGATACCGTGTCTAATGCTCTATCAGAATAAAGTACACAACATTCTTGTATATCGTCTTTTAATAATTGTATTGATTTATGCATCTGTCGAGCAACGTATACTGCAATATACCGTTCTTGATCATTATTCCTCATTCCTGTACAATAACTTCTAGAAGCACGTGATACTACAGTAATTGCTACATATAATTGAATTACAATGTCAGCAAATTTTTGTAAAACAATATGCTTAGAAGATATTTCTGATCCATACACATCTAATAACAATGCAGAAGTATTTACTAATATCTCAATAGCTTCTTCAATTGCAGTACATGCTACTTTAAGTGATAAATGTGCATATTCAAATAAATTTAAATTAACTTTTTTATGTGACATAAATTGTTTGAACATATAAAGAGGATTTTGTAAAATATTCCTTGATTTTTTGATATCTTCATGAATATCCTTTCCAACATATTGTAAACCTAACAAAGCTATGAATATTTTTTCATCAATAGAAGATCCATCAAATAAAGATAATCCTAAAGCATCCTGATACAATTGCATATATGGATTATTTTCCATATAACTTTCAACTCCAATCACTTGTAATCCTTTTTGTATTTGTTTTACGCATTCATTAGAACAATAATTTTCTGTTATTGCCTTTTCTATTTCCAAATCTTGACCATCATAAATATCATTTAATGAACTAGTAAATAATGCTACACTTTCCATACAATACAAACGACTTGATATATGTCCAACAATTTCTTGTATTGCTTCAAATTCATGCATATTTTTGTCAAGATGTTTTCTACCTAAAATATTTTTGTTCATTAAGGATAAGAAATTTCGCAATATACCAATTGATTCTCCAGCAATCCTATTTGTTCCAGGAGCATATACATCCAATAAAACATTATTTCCATCACATAATTCGCTTAACAAATTTTCCTTAGGAATACATGTATCTTTAAAGTCAACCGTACAAAGATGTATTTCACGTTGATTCATTGTATTAATAGCATTGCTACAAGTAATACCACCATGTTTACTTTCTACTAAAAATGCTGATAACGATTGATGCATTGGTAAATTTTTTTCTTCAGATCGTGCAACGATTAAAAATAAATTAGAATCTATTCCATTGGTAACAAATTCTTTTCTACCATTTATCGTCCAATATTTATCACATTTTGAAAGTGATGCTTCGGTTTCAATGTTTTTCATATTTGGACCGGTTAAAATTTCAGTAATACAAACTGTAGGTAATAATTCTCCATTACCTATTTTAGGCAAATAATATTCTTTTTGCCATTCATTACCAAATTTAGAAATTAAGTCAATAGGCATGAGATTATTTTTAATAAAGCATGTAGCTAACCAAGGTACTGATACTAAAATTTCCAATACTTTGACAGTTTCTGCATCAGACATATCTAATCCACCATACTTGGAATTTATTCTTGCTCGTAAAACATCAAGATCTTTCAATGCTTGAAATGCTTCTTTTTTAGATAATTCATTTCTGTTTACGGAAGACATATAATTTTCAATTGGTTTTATCCATTCGAAAAACTGGTTGTACCTATCAACTGATTGTGGTTCAGGAAAAGCCATAAGTTCAAAATCAAATTTACCAAGAAATAGATTTTTGACAAATGGTTCCCTTTTTGTTAATTTAGCACTGGGTACAGATAATTTTGTTTTAGCTTCATATACATCTATATCATCAATATTTTGAATATTTCTTTTGGACATATAAATACATGTTGGTATATATCGTCTTCCATTATGGCATATTTTTCGTGTTAACATTATATATTTTTATTCTTTTCAATAAAACAATATCTAAAATTTAATAAATATAATTATGAATAATCACTGATAAATTTGTACTTGCTTAAAAAAGTACTTAAGTAACCACATAACCTATATATGTACTTTATAAATTTTAATTGTCCAAATTGCCGATAGGTTTGCTAGTATCGCTACTACACGTGTTTCTATGTTAATGAAACTGTCAGTGATCCCAGAGACTTTAGTTCGTCTGATCGACACAGGGGCGTAAAATTATCGTACGAATGGGATCACTAAAATTGAAACAATACAAAAAATAAGTAATTAAGAAAGACATTTAAAAAAATAGAAAAATCTTGACAATTACTATTCTAACTAAGACATTTGTAAGAATGAAGTTATAAATATCTTTATTAAAGTTCATTAATATTCTGACAAATGATATATCAATAATTTTTGTATAATTTCATGTTAATGAAATTTTTCATTTGCATCATAATCAACATTTGCAATTCAAATGACGAATTCAAATATATGCTCCACTTATTTTTCAATAGTAACTATAGATAATTATTACTAATGAGAGGTTATCGTTTCATCAAGAAACTTTTTCGTTTAATTTCATTCAACATACAATGTCACATATGCAATTTCTTCATGTTGTTTTCTCCTGAAAAGGCTGACAAATGAATAAGATGATTTCATTCAGTTCAGAAGTTGTTTAAAACAATTTATTATTTCAGAAATTATTCAAAACAAACAAACAAATAGATGCTGTAAAAGATGCAATAAATTAATCAATTATTAATTTCTTTAATTTATTATAAACATTTTGAAATGATTTGTCGATTAAAAAAAAGTATTTCATAAATGATGTTTATTATTTGTTAAATTATTATTATTATGATTATTATTATTATTTGTTTTTTTTTTGTATTTTTTATTTTAATTTGAATATAAACAATTAATTTTATATCTCATATAATTAAATTAAATTAAAAAAA